ATATATATATATATATATATATATATTGATCTTGCTTGGATAGTATAAAAAAGCTTCGTAAAAAAATTAAATCATTCAAAATTGGATCATGTCTAGAATAATATAATAAATGTAACGAAATCGATATTTGGATTTTTCTTCAATTTTCATTTCGTTCGTCTCTCACACAATATATTCTTACAGATTCGTAATCGGTAATTATACATTGAAATATTTTTTGTTTCCTTTTTTAAATCGACGTCACGTTACATTACGCATCTACGCTTCAAATGTGTATGCTTTTTACTCCTTCTACATTCCCGTTGTGGTTTCGTTATAAATTTCGATTAATTCGATCGGGTTCGTGTCCCTCTAGAATTCTATCACGGTCATGCTAAAATATCTTCTCGTGTGGAACGAATGCGAAACGCATGGAAATTATAAATGCAGGAGCACGCATTGTTGGTTTGTAACGGTGCACGATACCGCATACAAGCGTTGCTTTTAATCGTTTACCCGGATTATCGGTTGTATAGTTGCAAACAGATACTTAGTATATTCAGCATCGATTTATACGCTTTGTTGATGGACACAGAAGAGTATGATAAAGAAAATCGAAATAAAAAAGAAGCAAATTAAAGAAGTAGAATATTCCAATCTAGTTTAAATATATAGAGATCGTTGAGAACAGAAGTGGAATGGTTCTTCAACATTTAATCCCGTTGTTATAACGAGGAAAAGTAATATCGCTTGTAGAAACGAAGTTTCACTGTTCATTTTCTTAAAAGGGAAATAAACCGAGTCGATGTTACTTTTGTTTCCATCGGTACATATAGTTGCAGTTAATGATACTATTCCTAGTGCTTGGTCAATTCATATGTATTACGAGAATTCACAAAAGTCATTGTAAACTGTAATACCGTAGTCAATGACACCGAGTTTCTCGTGGACTTCTTCGAAATAGCCCAAGTTGATTCCATCTGTTCGATAAATAGGTACTTACTTCTTTCTGTCTTTTTTCTTTGCTATCACTAACAATAAGTAGGTACATAAGTACTTATGTACTTGAATATGTATATTCAAGAGAATGGAAAGTTCGGAAATGCAACGTGTACTTATTTACATTTATCGTTTTCTTCCTAATTGTTATTACAATACGATACATGATAATTATTAAAATTGCCAAAGAATTATCGCTCATGTATAGATTCGTATTACTTTTCGACGAATTTAAGATATTTCTCGTTGTTTAAATTATATATATATATCTTCGTTAATGGTACAACTACGGTATTCAATGACGTAATCATTGTCCATTCTATACAATCGAAATATTCTGACATAACAGAAATCATCGATCCACCGGATGTTTACGGACTCCGACGATCTTGATTGCATCTAGGTGCGATCGCTCGCATAGAATTACACTCGCGTTACCGACCTTTCGAAGAGATCTATAATTACAGTGTTCGAATTTTGTTATGATAACCTTAGTATCGTATTTCCTTGAGAAACGTAATCTGAAAACTATCATTTGGTGTACATGTTTTATTATGAAATATATTTATGAAGCAACAAGCTTGACTTTTGTACAATTAGTTCAATGAAATATAATTCATTGAACTATTTGTCAATTGATTAAATAATAAAAGTTCTCATACGTGTTCCCGTTGTATTAAATAGAATTTTTTAAATGATATTATCATATATAGACGTAAGATACAATTAAGGTATACGATACGTATTATTGATCGTTCGTAGGTCACCGAATTTTTATAGATAAGATAAATATTATCACCTTTGATAATGACGGCACTACGAAAGAAATCCGTTTTCGCATTGCACGTAATATTTATATTTTATAATTATTTTCGATATTAAATTACATCTATATTTACTTCTTTATCGAATAAAAATAAAATAACATTAAAATTAAGAATAAGAACGAAGGATCATAAAGATGTTGTTTCGGTTGAAATCATCAACGAGATATAACGCGCAATTGCTTCTTAAGCAAAAGGAGAAACAAACAAGAAAATAAAATAAAAGAAAAAATATTTGATCGTGGACGATCTCGATGACTTGGCGTGAGTTACGAGAGCGACAGTTTCGTCGTAGAATATAGCGTGAGAATGATGTAACGTCGATTATTTCATAACTAGAAATCACGAGATGCAATTTGTAGAACTGCAGTGTCTCCCATTCTAAAAGAGAATAGTAACTAAGTAAATAAGTAAGTAAGTAAGTGAGTGAGTGAGTGAGTGAGTGAGTGAGTAAGTAAGTAAGTAAGTAAGTAAGTAAGTAATCGAATGTTTTCACGTCGTATCGATTATATTATTCGATATAATCGAAGCCACGAAGAGGCCATGGAAGAGATATCGTTGGCTCCTGGTATAAAATCGCGCATCGAATAAACAAATAAACATTATGAAATATTAATGACACGTCTTGGCAGCTAATGCAAGAGGTGTCGATAGAATATCAGGTTGGAGGTTGCCTGATCGTTACGATGCTCATCACACTTATGGTCAGACTTCTTGGCTAGTTTTTCGTTTGTTTATTCCTACCCAATCGTTTATTTTCTTTCTTTTCGTAGGTAATCATTGAAAAAGATATCATTCTCATAAATTTTTCGACTTCAATAATCTGTCGTTATCTCAAACAAATTTAATTTCTATTTACAATCGGGAGAAAAAAGATAAATGATCGATTTGATGAGGCTAAACCAAAGCTGTCTGAACAGGAAATGAGAGTGAGTGAACAAAAGAAAGCTCGAAAGCGACACGTTCGTTACTTAGTCGGTGATAAAGCGTGAGTTGGCTTCGTCAGCCAAAATAAACAGAATGTCACGGGTATAAATAAAGCTTTTGCTCTCTTCGACCTCGTGTCTTTTCATCGGGCACACGACGCATCCAACGTTCTTCGGACGAGGGCTCTCTCTCTCTCTCCCTCTTTCTCTTTCTCTCTCTCTCTCTCTCTCGCTTGATCGACGTGTCTTCCTTCGAAGGCGCTTCTAAAATCGTCTTAACGAAATGTGCATCAACGGTCGGTCGTTAAAAAAAAATAAACTCTCTCCTAGGTTCTTTCATATTTCTTTACGTAATGAAGATTTACGTTCAACGTTGTCTCTCCTGTGGTTGTTTTCGATCTAACGAGGAGAGGATTAGATGTGGAAACATTATCTCTGTGCGTTGTTTATATAAAATATAATCCTAGGTGACCCTTAAGCTTACCTGGAAATACTTCCCATTTTCAAACAAAACCACCAGGTATAATACCCTGATTATACCTGGTGCTTCTTTTTTTTCTTGTCTTCTCTCTTTTATTTTTTTTTCTTTTTTTTTTTTTTTTTTTTTTTATAATCTTCGGACCTTGTGAAACATATTATATCTTTTTCTTTTTTTTCTTTTTTCTTTCTCAAGGATATTCACTTAAAATTATATTTATATAGAATCTTTTCAATTTCGATCTACATTATGAAAAACGCGAAGGTATAAACTATTCAACTTTCATGAGTCTTGTTCGCATCTATTCTTCGTGGTTAAATATTCAAACGATTCTACGAGCATCGGTCTCTTTCTACGATAAGCGCGTAAAACAAATGGCACTTAATACCCATCCACTCGTTCGTGCATAATTCTCACTTATCGCATACTTGGCACGCGCCGTACGACAAGGGATCTTTCGAGGCACGTTTTCTCGATGGCGCTTAAACCATACTCTTCTTTTCCTATTTTCACTCGTTAGTCGCTCTTAGTTTGATATCCGAAGACTACTTTGGTGCACACATCATTTGTACCTGTGTGTGTGTATGTCCGTGGATATATATTTATGTATTAAAAATACATATACATAATTAAGCGCATATATCATATGTAACACGTGACACCGAACTTTTCCACTACTACATGCCACTTGTAACGCTATTGTAATTCTACGATTCGTATGCGAAAAAAAAAGAATAATGAGAGAGAAGAGAGGTGACAAAGATAGAGAGAGAGAGGAGAGAGAAGGGGGAGAAAAAAAACACATCGAACAAAAAGCGCTACCACCGGCGATCCAGCCGGTTGCCGTCGCAGCACGTGACGGGTGTCGTTAATATTTCATTAGCATTCGTTTTTCGCACTGACTCTGACGCACGGATTTTATAAGCCTATCCAGCCTCCCTTCTTTTCTCCGTTTACTCCCTCTTTGTGTCCTTTCTTTGTGTACTTTTTCTCTTTCTGTCTCTCTCTCTCTCTCTCTCTCTCTCTCTCTCTCTCTTCTAGGTTTATACATTGAAGCCTCGAATGCACATGAATAAAGAAATAAGTAAGGATACGTGGAAGATTACTTTTCTTCTTTCGCTGCGTAACAACGACCTATGAAAATTTGATAATATTACCTATTTCGAGCATGCAAACTCGTTTTGCTTGTTTTCCTTTTTATTTTTGTTTCTTTTTCTCTTATTTTTTTTTTTTTGCTTTCAACGTGCGTACGTTTTCATCTTTCCTTTCTTATATACTGTATCTTATTTGACTATATGCAAGCTCGACAAGCTCTCGATTTAGCCAATTAATTAACACTTAATGAGTATGCTTTGAACTATGTTCTTAGCATGCGAAGAGAGTTATAACTTCTCTACAATCTTCTTCGACAAGACGGTAGAAACTATGTCGTCGTAGTGGTTTTAACTAACGGTGTATATATTACCTTTGTAGGATTTTACTATTAATTTTATTACCAAATCCGGTTGGTACTTTTAACATAGACAGTAAGTAACGGATATTCAAAGATAACCTTGTTGGTTATATCAACGAATAAAATACGAGGAATTTCAAACGAAATAATATCGCGTTTATCCCTTCACAATCTTTGCCGTTATCGTATCGAATAAAATTGAGTTGATGATATTAAAAGTCACGTAAGTTAAATGGAAGTCATAGTAAAAAAAAACTTTTTCGATCTTTTAGACTAAATGCAATTCCCATTCCTATCGACGATAAAATCTTCTTCGAAGGAGAAAAAAAATATCTTCTTACCGTTTCTATTCTCGCTATCTGCCGGTTTCATTTGGATCGGATGCCGCATCTGAAAAGAAAAGAAAAATGTTTTATCGAACTCTTGTTTCTCTAGATTTTGTAATAACGCATTATACATCTACGAACAATCCCGAAACTGCATTTGAATATATACATACACACACAGACGCACACACACACACTCACATATATATATATATATATATACCTATGTAATCAGTGATATGGAAATCGAACGTATCGAGAATTCGATTTGATACTTATCGAAATGCATCGGCGTCCTTCTATAAGCAACATTTATAAAAGAAGCAAATTTCTTCGATAAGAAAGCTTCCCGGTATAATATGATTACGACATAGCAAAAGGATTCCTTTTGATTGAAGGATCGGTCATGTTATTAAAAAGTTATAATATAATTCGGAAACACTCGAATAAATTAGTTTTCAGTATCTTTCCATTATCATTTTAATAATCTTACTTCCTTCGATCTTGGGAATACTTGTTTTGCAAAAGGACAAGATAGGAAAATGTATATTCTTGAAACGACGATTATAATGAAATCCACTCGAAGGTCATTTTGTTATTATCCCTAGCAACGTGATCTCAGATCACGTCATACCTCTTTGACACGTCATCCTGCGTGTAAAGATCGATTAGCTTTGAAATTATATGTGATACTAGAATGCAAACGTTTGTATGATTAATATGAGTACGTAATAAAAATCTCGTCATCGTTATTTGATGAGTTTCTTTCTTAAAAAAATCCGGAACTATTAATTTTCTTAAAGCATGATACTTAATTAATCTAAACGCAAAGAGACTTTATTAGAATTGAATATAATTTTTAGATCAAATTGATGGTTCGTTAATACTTTATTATATTAATGGATATCGTCATTAGTGTCGAGGATGGTGTTGCATTAATTTTCATTTTTATGATTACACGTGCATCGTGAATTAGCACGATTGCAGATTTAGAGCGCGACTCTTCGCCCTCTCTATCTTTCTCTCTCTTTCTCTCTCTGATTCCATAATGGCATTATTATACTTCGTTCCATAAGATCATTACGTGCGACAGGTCTAGTTGACAAGAATCTCTCGAACGTCCCGAGCGTTCCTCGTCTTCGCGGAACGTCGGGCGAAGGAGATGAAATTTAACGAGGGAAGCAATTAAATTAGGAACAATTGAGCACGTGGACGAACTAAATCGTGTTTTCCTGCCATCGTTCCCCTTGGGAAAACCTCTTCGAACGGAATAATTCGAACGTCTTAAGAAATAAAGGGTTGCTATGCAAAAACGTCATGGCAATCTTCACGTTGAACTATAGTAATGGAAAATGTCGGACCATTTGCCATTTTCCTTTGGAGAAAGCAAGCTTTATGACGACGTAACACTAACGACGTTCTTTTTACCATCGCCCGTATTGCAAGTATACTTTGTACGGGCGATAGTTTGTCATAATAATGATGATCCACGTTCTGTCATGTTTGATAACGTTTCGAGAATCTTTGCAGAACGATTGAGAACTTGAGATTTCTTAAGAAACAAATAGATTGAATTCGCATGGCAAATATACGTTCTGTCTATCGTTGAATAATTCACGGAATAAGAATTCTTTTTTTTTTTTGTACGAAGATAACTAAGAGAAATTCATTGATTTTCTTTATTTTGTTTTGTTTTTCCTCTATTTTTTTTTTTTTTTTTTTTTTTTTTTTTTTATGCTTCATTCATCTAGAGAACAATTAAGTGAAAAATTGGCGAGAAGGAAGAAGAAGATAAAGGAATATTCTCGACACGAATCGAGCGTACGACCTTAATGATTTCGTTACTCGTTAGTAACGTCTATCGAGGATTTGAGAACAACTAGGAATCGTCGTCCTTTCTCGTCTGTCCTTCCATTTGCCATTCATTCTCGAAACTGGGTTATTCGCGCGATCGTGGCTCGTTCTCTCTATCTCGGTGCCGTCTCGACTGAGAGGAATCACCGCTAAGATTCGAATTCGATATCGGCTATAGTCTAGCTTCGGTTGAATCCATATATCCTGGAGGCTCGATTATCGGAATGCCAGGATAGATCGAAAGATCAGTTACGAGGGCTAACGATCCATAAACAACAACGTGCGATGGCTAGACGCGATAGACTGAAAGTGATGCTCGCCAAATGCCATTAAATTTGTTCATAGCTAAAATAGTTTCGAACTTCGATATTGTCAAGCTTCGTATTTTCGGAGGAATTTAGAATGAGCATAGTAGTCGTTTGTTACGATTACCGCTAAAACAAGCGATTATTGTAAAAGATATTGGATTGAAGTCTTACACCGATACGAAATTGTATTTTCAACAAGTCTAGTAAACGTAAATTAAACAGTCAGATAGATCAAGAACTTTTCGCTGGCTCGTAAATAGTTTGCAGGTTGCTTGGAAAGTTGCCTACTGGTTGGAACGTCGGAACCGTCCATTAAATCACCGGTGCAGTCCTTCATCGAAGACGAGTCGCCCTAATATCAGAGAGCAAATTAATCACAGAGTCAACGGGCCGTCACACGTTTAATGATCTCACGTCGTTATTTAAACTTTCACTCTGCTCTGGTATTTCACTGTTTTTTTTTTCCTTTTTTCTTTTTTTTTATTTCCTAGAGAAATTTTTCAAAGCTACGTACCAAACGCGTACTTCGTAATAATCATAGTTACACGGGTTGACAGATAAGAAAAAATAAACTCTATGCAAAATGACTCTTTATGTTATTTTTTTTTTCTTCTCGTTTATACAAAAGAGAAAACAAAACATCGGCTCTTAAAAAATTGAAATATTTTACTCCAATGTCCAAGTACGATATATATTTTAGCTGAGACGTCGAAGATATTCTATTTGATCCTTCGGTCGAGAAGGATATATATCATGGTATGGTGTCAGGATGAAATTCATATCTATGCTAAATACGGCATGCTCCTTGACTTGAAAATTGACTTTAATAATATCCCCATTGTACGAATCTTTGCGTTATAAACGGTTTGATAATTTAGTTAGATCGTGGGGTCGATCTAAACGATAACTCATGCAATACATTCTAACTGCATTCGCATATATATGATATATATATATATATATACACACACACAAACGTGCGCGTCGTACTTAGATATACATTTGATAGAAATATTCAATGCAATACAAATTATAATTTATAATTTCGTAAATGATATATTGTTAATTATAACGAAACAATGACTTTCTTTAAAGAAAGAAGAACGACGAAGTCGCTTCGCAATAGTACAATTTTCCACATCCGCGAGTACATAATGAGTTCTTTCAACGGCAAAGGATATATCGTTTAACGCGGACAGAACGATAATAATTTTCATTACTCGTTTATTCCGGTATTTTCACGATTCGTCCTAGATAAATGTAATAATAAGGAGAAAGAGAGAGAGAGAGAGAGAGAGAGAGAGAGAGAGAGAGAGAGAGTCCGTGATAATGTACAGTCGGGTGACTTCCATCATTTTTATCCTTTCACCCATTCGTCATTGAACACCGAGGACTGCTTTGGAAAAGTCCTTTTAAAGTTATACCTGCTTGCTTAAGTATTCTCCTTCTTCGCTCATTTTCAAGCTATGCCGAAACTCCCTTATCCTACTTAGAGATGTTGCAGCAAAAGCAGCGCTGGTTTTTCTTTTCTCTCTCTTTCTCACTGTCACGAGAGAATGCTGACTACGACTTCGTGACTTTTAATCTCAACTTCGTTGTTTACGTGTTATGAGAGAAGGAAGGACGGAGAGAACGCGCTAAAAGCGAGATAATTTTTATAATCTTCGCGGAAGGTGCCAGGCCTTACTAGGGGATTTAAAGTTGCAACGCTGTCTCTTATATCCTCGCGTCCTTGCTTTCTTTTTCGAGCGTGCAACTCTGGCTAATTCGAGTCGCCTTCCCGTTTTGTTCTTTCATTAAAATTACGAAAATATAAAAGTTTGCGGATTACGACCGACGGATTTGATCTCAATTATTCATGATGGACGCGAAATGATTGTCTCGTTTCGCGCATTTTCTTTTATTTCTTCCTCTTGTACGCGCGTACATAAATCCTCGGAAGAATTAAAACGACCAAGTTCGAGTTTTCCTTGCATTGTGACCTGGACACTTATTCCCCTTCCCCATCAGGCCGAACGGTAAGACACCGTAAAACCGAATATTACCACTTCGTTTGTCCACCGACTTTGACTTTACGACTTTTAATTCTCCCAACTTATCCAGGCAGATAGGCAGCCATTCGAGAAGTTTTATGATATTCGTGCAGGATCAGGAAGACCTTGGCTCGTCCTGAGGGAGGAATCTTTTTTTGGCGACAGTCGGTCGGATTTAAAAGTTATATAACATTGGCGCTATCGGAAATTTCTTTCTCTTGCCAATACGACGGAAACTTGATAGAGGCAAAGAGAGATAGAAGGAGGGAGAAAGGGACCAAAAGTTAGCATGTTGGAGGGCGCATATCGCGAGGAATGCGGTTCCGACCGAGCGAGTCGACATTCGCGAGGGTTGTCGCGTGGTCGTGGTCGTCGTCGTCATCGTCGTCGGAATGACGGGGATGAGAGCCCGTTCGAGGGAATGAACGTTTGTAGGAAGGGTAGAAGGTTCGGAGGGTTACTGTAGCTACGAGCGAGTATTAAAATCGACGAATTCGGCTCAAGGGCTTCGTCACGTCGCCCGTATCGCCGGTTATAAATTCGTTTCACGTACCCACCGTGTCGGGCAGCGTCGACAGAATGAAAAAGAGGTGGGGAAAAGGAAGAGAGACAGAGGACGACGCGTTTTCGGAGGCCGAGGAGACTCGTGAAAAATCTGCGCGGATTCGACGGCAGTACTGGTAGAGGTGGTGATACTGCTGCTGCTGCTACTGCTGCTGCTGGTGGTGGTGGTGGTGGTGATGGTGTTGGTGATGCTGGCTGCCTCGAGAAAAAAATGCGGGCGTCACGTGCATCTGCGTCCCTGATATGCGGCCAGGGTGAACGACTCGACACGTCGGAATCAATGTTCTCAATGAAGGTGGTAGGGG